GTGCAGATTTCGTATTTGTCTAGTGAAATTCATGGAATATGTACAAATTATTATTTTAGAACCCAGTAACTTAAAAGAACTAGAATCCTGAATCCATAAGTTTCAAATTCTGGCTCCACCTCTGATATTAACTTAAGATTTGTGTAGGAACCCATAAACTTAAAATTCTAGATCCGCCTGTGATTTTACATTATTTTGCATATATAAGCTGCATATCCTTTGTAATTTGTAGCAAGCAAATAAAGGGTTGTCTCCAATTTTATTGGTAAGTGTAAACTTTTGGCGAAGGGCTAGTAAGAAGCAGTACCTTTGAACGTGGATGATATCATTTGGATTTGAAGGATGAACTGGTTAAAATGTCACAATTAAAGGTTAATCATTTGATTCTTAAACTGATAAGATTGCTGATATAACCTAAGCAGAAAAGACTAAAGGAGTAACGAGGAGACCTTATTCCATAGTTATGCATTTTGTCGTGAACATTTAACACCTCATGGTTATAATACAGTACAGTATCTTTTTCCACTTATAATCATTTACATATGTATTTCAGGGTGTGGCCTTGCAGTCGATAAAGTTACAATATATTTGTACTAATGAACAATTACGGATATTTATGAAATAATTAAGGTGTGTGTAAATTGAAATATCGTCACTATATTATAGCAAAAACTTGGACAGGTACAGCTAAAACATAATTATTAGTAGGGAGTAGCTAGGCCATATTTATTTATTTTTCCTAATTCATTGTTAGGTAACCATGATTTGCAAAGTAATTATTCAAGTAAACACTGTTTCATGATAAACATGAGAAAATGCCAGACGTATAAAAGTATAACGCCCCACATAGACAATTATTTTGCTACACGTAGAGAAATACAACTTCTTGCCTAAAATTTAGAATAATGGTATTATTGTTTACGCATGCTTATGCAAAGTCAATTCCCATTGTTAATTTAAATTGATGACATGCAAATCTACCAAATAAATATTTTTTAAGAGTTATTAATGCGCATATAGTATTTTTTCAAATAGCAGATTTAAACTCCGTTGACTTGAGTATTAAAATTTAAAGCATAGCAAAGTGCATATTGCTTACGCTGTTGTATCTTTTTTTAAAACAAAAAAGGGTCAAATATATCCATTTATTATTAGAAATTATTTAAACTTACCTCCCGTTATACTATTAACTTATACTATTAAGGCGTTTGAGCCCCCACTGTTATATTTTAATTTAAAGTTACCCATAATTTTAACAAAAGTATACGTGGCGGCTCAGAAACAAAAAGCCCAAACCCCAATTTTAAAATATCTGATTCAATTACAACTCACCCTAATTTCACCCGTTACTCGACCTGCTCCTTCAGCCTAATTTTTAGCCATTTGTACCAGATCATGCTGCTGCTGCCACAACTCCTCTTCCGCCATCACCAGAGGCGGATGCAGTGTACTACCTATGGGTTCAATTTGAATCCATAACTTTCGACGCGAAATAAAAATTTGTCAGTAAAAATTCATTAAAATTACAAAAATAGTATATAAACCCATAACTTTAAAAATATAATGGGTTCAATGTTAAAAACCTCAAAATTGAACCGATAGGATTTAAATCCTGGTCCGCGCCTCTGGCCATCACAACCTCCTTTTCTCCCTAAATTATTGTAAAGTTCTGATCCATCTTCTTCGTCTTTCAAAGTTCCTCTTCCTAATCTTCTTCACTTCCTCATTCCTTATATTCCCCCATTGCCTAGTACCACCTACTGTAGTAACTGTGGATTCAAATACATAATAATGAAATCGGCATTTGTGCCGGACTAGCACAGATCCGAGGACTAATTCCGGCAAAGGTTGTCAAATTAACATTACTACGATGGTTACAATGAGAGGAATTGGGGTGTGAACGCATACAAGCTTGCCGGTGAAATCCTGAAGCAGAAGCTAACAACGTCGGTGCCACATGCAACGGCGTCGTTTGTCCATGATTCCGGCGAACTTCCTTCTACTATCGAATGGTTCAATACATTTGCAGCCTCAGGTGTTATAATTTCAGATGATTTGTGCTCAACCCTGCCTTCATGCGCCAACAACAAAGAAATTTCAATTAAAAGATTGCTGAAAATATCAACTTTTATCGTTCAAAGAAAGAAACTCAATCAAAAGATTGTTAAAAAATATTAACTGTCGCTAAAACAAAGAATCCCAATTTGAAAAAATGTTAAAATTATCGAACTTTTTTTAAAGCTTTCAACTGGGAACTCGTATTGAAGCTGTAGGTTTTTCTTTTAAATTTATTTATAACGAGGGTTTATATTAAGTGGGGGAATTTGGTTGGGTATAAAAATAGGCAATGGGTTATAATTGAATCATGTAATTTAAAATTGGGGTTTGGATTTTTTGTTCCCGAGCAGCCACGAGTCCCTCCCTTAAAATTAATGGTAAATTTAAACTAAAGTATAATAATAGGGGCTCAAACACTGTGACAAATGGTAAGTTTAAATAATTTTTTATAATATATTTGACCATTTTTTGTTTTTAAAATTAAGAATAAAATAACGAATTTAACGATCAGTGGCACGGATGTAAAATAAGTCCAAGGCAAGGGTGATTATGGTAAGACAAAATCCTGACAGCGATTCCCACTAGGGGCAACTTCCTTTGATGACTACAATCTCTGGAATAAGCCTCTGACTTCCCATTAAAAAGAAGGGCCGAAAAAAAGAGAGAGAGAGAGAGAAAGAGAAAAAGAAAAAGTGACAAAGTACAAACTTTGAGGTCCCCAATTTTCATTACACCACCAAAAGCTAAAAGAGGTTGCTTTACGAATAAACTACCTCCTCCTCAATATATATTTCTTAGTAATTGAATTTAATACAGTGTTTTAAAGGGCGGGCATAAGGTATGGTATTTTATTCTCTCCCTCCAATTCACTCCAATTTACTTTTTCATTTTGGTTCAAAATAAGTATTCAGTTATGTAATCAAGAAAGAATTCAATTTATTTTTACAAAATAACCCCTATGTGCATATCCCTAAAAAAATTTCTTACTTCTCATATTAAATATTTAATTAGGGATAGTTTAGTCATAGTAGGTATTTTTGTATGGAATTTAGTATTTTCTTAATGGGCGTGCTAAAAGCAAATTGGACACTTATTGTGAACCGGAGGGAGTAATATGGAGCGACGTGTAAACCTCAAGACAGGGACGTAAGCCCATGGATTATTTAAAAAAAAATTATAAATTAATAAAGTAAAATTATAACACAAAAAAATACAAATATAAATTAAAAGTTTAAAATTAAAGAAACTCATAGAAAACAAAATATGTAGATGTTTGTTAAGTGTAAATAATACATACACATCACGCAGTCTTAACTTTCAAACAAATAAAAAAAATTATAATTTCTTAAAAAATTATTATTAAACTCTGCATTTTACCTTCTTAAAAGTAAATATTCAATTAATCTTATCAGTAGTATAATTAAATATTACTCCTTCATGAATAAATATAATTAGTTTAAAATATCAAATTAATAAAAGCCTACAATTACGAGAGACATATGAACAATAACAAATGAAAATATAAATTCGCAATAGGGCACATTATTTGAGTTACACTCAATCTTTGTATTTCTATCGATGAATAGAATTTTTATCATTAATTTGTTTAAAGAATTTTAAGGGTCAACAATACTAATTAGAAAATTCGACACGTGATTTGCGTTAAAACAGTTAGACGAGCTCCAAGCGTTGGGCTTTAGGCGTGTTTAGGGCGCACAGTCGGGCGCTTGGGGCATAAACTTCACATAACGAAGCCTCGCACATGAGCCCCAGGGCATTTTGCAAGTACCTCATCCAAGGGCGAGCCCCAAACGAGTTTCAAAAATGCATTTTAAAATACTGATTCAAAATATATTACTACTTGTTATTGTTTATTAGTATGATTTAACTTACGACAATAAATTAGTTATTTTTATTAATTTACTAATATTAGTTATAAAATTGACTTTTATTTAATGTATAATGATCTAATTGTGTATATATTATTACACTATTAGTATATAAATTTAAGTCATATTAATTTATCCAAATGAATACTTAATATTATCAAGAAAAAATCCTCCTTGGTGACTAAATAGACAATCAATTATAATTCGAATCTATATCACAAGGTCTAATCTTTTGTTACTCTCGTGTTGATTATCTGAACAAATGTATCTTTTTGCATTTTCTCGTATAGAAATTTAAGTTTCATGGCCAAATATAAACTTTTTAATGCGTTCAATAATACAAGTTGATTAGTAAAAGGTGTATGATGTAAAGAAAGAAAGTTTGTAAGAATATATAATTTTAAAATCTTTTAAGTTTCAAAAGACATTATATTAACTTAAAAACCAAAACGATAAAAGTACTCTTTTATTATTGAAAACTATTTATAATTACACCGTTATACTAATTGATCAATCTACCGTATTATGAACAAATATTTCCCATGCTAATAGAGGGGCCACGTAGCAGCCATTTAAGCCAATCGGTCCATCCGATATTATTTTTATAGTATGGTTATTTTTAGTCAATTACTAAAATAAGACAAATGACTTCACAAAAAATCGATATTATTTGAACGATTATCAAAATTTGTAAAGTCCATAAAAATGTTTTCATTGCGTTAAACTAAATATTTTGCGTTATTCTTGGCATAATAATGAGTTGCGTAAATCTATTCACTATTACTTATATAAACTGTTTTAATAAAAATCTTCTTTAAATAGTTCTGCTATAGACATTGATAGTGTATATGTTTTTGCTTTTAAATTGTTTTTAGTTTTGCTTTAAAACACAAATAATATGGGCCACAATAGTATGTAATATACACATATTTAATAAATAGCTAAATACTTTATGTATCATCTTTGCTATATTATATACAGATTGATATATTTGAATTAATTAAAATTGTTTTCGGGAACAAAAGAGAATGTTAATCTGTTTTCCTAAGAAGAAGCAATTCCCAGATTCCATGCAAGTCCCAAGGCACAAAACACAAAAGCCCTGAGCCCCTGATTTTGAAAAGGACTAGCAAAAGCTGACAAGAAATTAACCCCCACAGTGGTAAAATCGTAGTTCTCTACTAATTCCAAGCCTGTTTCTGTCAACTACTATTACTATACTCTCTCCCCATTGTATGTTGCCAATTTTTTGCTGCACACTCCCCACCATTTTCTTCTAAGCAGAAGTTAGCAGAGTCAGCACTGAGAAAAAAAAACACTGAAACACAAACAGCACTGCTTCAACTACTACTCAAACCATAACCTTCACAGAAAGCCTTTCTTTTTTCCCAGGAACACACACACACACACATACAGATTGGTGACATAACTTTAGTACATACACGAGAGATTCTTTTTCCCACTCTAGATTCAAGAACTGTCCGAAAAGTTCTGATCTTTACATCTATATACACACAGTATTTGTTTTTGGTTCAATTCTTTTTGGGGGGTTTTCTGAAAATGGAGAAAATTGTTGTTGTTGTTAACTGTGAGCTTAAAGCTTGTGGTATTGTGTAGTTCCCTGTAAAGGGCCTTCTCTATCTCCTTTCCTCTCTTTCACTTTTCTCTCCACTCTTAGAATGGGTTGCAGGAGTATGATAGTAGTGAATTTGGATCCACAAAGGAAGAGAAGTGGTGGATTGAGAACTAAACAGGCAGGGCGTGGTTCTTGCAGGGGAAGTTAGACTCTTTACTGCAAAGAAAAAAATGTCTTTTCTCTCTTGAGAAATCCATGTAGTAATATGTAATATATTATTTTGGTGCCTTCTGGGGTTATACACACACACACACACACTGACACAGAACAAAACAGAAGTTGGTATGGGGTATTTGCTGAAAGAGGTGTTGAAAACTCTTTGTGGAGTAAACCAGTGGTCTTATGCTGTTTTCTGGAAGATCGGTTGCCAAAACACCAAGTGAGTTATGTTTTATTTAATATCTTCCATGTGGGTGTAGCTATATTTTTCAAGCAAGATTAAAGTGGGAGTATAAAGATGTAACCTTTGGCAGTTTGGTTTCTGGTTTTAGTACAAAGTTAAGTGCTTTCTTGTTTTTAACAACATGGAGAAAAATGTGATTACACATTTCTAATTTGGGTATTCTTTTATTTTGCTTCTTGTGCATTGTTTTGCTTTTTGCTTACTCTTGTTCTGCTTTCTTTTCTGGCTTTTGATGCTGATTATTCTCTTTTCTTGGCTGATAAAATGGAGGCCAAATGAAAGTAACTACTGAAAAAGTTAAAAGTCTGACTGTCCTTTCATTGCTGCAAAATTGTAAACTGAGTTTCACTAATTTTATTGTGTTCAGTTCCTTTCTTCACAGTCTGCCTTGTTTGACCGAAGACAAAGCTTTCTTGAATCTGTGGTAATTGAGTTGAAGTTGTGTATTCTGTTGTTGATTACAGTATGATTTGACGTGTAATTGATTTATGGGATATTGCTGTACTTTTTTGATTGGTGGCTTCCGTTTTCCGTTTTTGGAATGTTGTTGCTGGTCCAGTGTGTTTTGTCTTCAAGAATCTTAATGAAAGTTGAAAAAAGTAGATTTGTTGTACTCTTACAAAGCCCTTTCAACTGTTATGATCTGCTGTGCACAAACATACTTATTACTGTTTTTGCCATTTTTGTTTGATTCTGTATGTTCTTATTATCAAACTTCTTGTCTCTTGTTCTTTAGTTTCTTGCACTTTTTCCAGCAATCTAGCAAAATAGGAATGCAGAGAGTTGTCACTTTCTTTGAATGCCTTACCTGATGTTTTTTCTATTCTTGATTAAAATTTTTCAAATGCTGCAAATGAAACGATATATCTTTTTGGTTTGCCAGGCTTTTAATTTGGGAAGAATCTTATTGTGAAACTTCAACATTCTCTGGTTTACATGGAACTTGTGAAGTTGAGAATCCAAAACTAGCTTTCCAAGACTGGAGTGCTTGCTGGGATTCGGGTGAGGTTCAAAATTCTCAGCTTCTGAATCAAGCAGGTGAGAGCTTGCATTTGCTCGTAAAAAGAATGATGATGGACAAACAGTTCAATCTAGTAGGAGAAGGGTATGACCTTTACTAAATGCAGCTTATTGATGTTTTCTATCATAAAATGAGAGTTGGGAAGAGTTACTTCATATGTTATATCCTTAATTTTGCATCTCAGACTAATTGGCCGGGCTGCGGTCACTGGAAACCATCAATGGATTCTTTCAAAAGGTCTAAGTAAAGATGCTCATCCACCAGAGGTATGTATTTTGATAATTCTTCACATGCTGATGGTCAATTGTTTTCCTTTTAAGATGCCATTCCACCGTAATCTGTAGCATGTATACACTAAATATATGCATTTCTACTTTCTTTATTGCATTGAAAATATGAACAGTTTGTCACGCTCCAACCTTGGAGAACGGGACACGGCACTCAACACCTTGACTTGGTTGAGCAAGCCAACATTCCCTTAACTTCCCATCCATAACCCATGCATGATTTAATATGTAGATCCATTCTTTAAAACATTTGCCTTCCATTAGTTTGAAAACATTACAAAAATAAAGTAGTGATTGTACATGCCATGAGACCTTAATATTAAGTGACAAAAACATAATCTAAACCTACATATATCTATGGAGCCTCTATGACAATCATGGAAAGAAAAGGAATGAAATGCCGGTGACAAGGCTCCAGCTATACCTAAAAAGGAAATACCATAGTCTGAAACATCAAAAGATAGACCCAAACATGAAGGAGGCTCACCATTGACTGCTAGGAATGAGGGAAGTGCCTAGTGAAGATCCGCGTCATCCAATGAAGCACAACCTGCATTCATTAAAGATGCAGCGGCCCTTGTAAAATTCTGCTTGTGTGGTCAAAGTTAGTTTTGTTATTCAATTGAATTTAGGAGCTGAGAATCCTGCTAAGGTTAGGATAAACATAGATTTAATGATGCTAAATATTTTCAATTTGGTGATGCTAAGATGTAATGATATTGGTTTCTTGTAGTATACTACTGGATTGATCCAATGATGCTTAATATTGCTTCCATATCTGGTGGTTTTGTTAGGTTCTGAAGGAGCTTTCTCGGCAATTTTCATCTGGCATCCAGGTATAATAATCTTGATTTTGTTGATATATCTTTATTTTGTGTAACTTGATTAAATTCTTTGTATATCATCGTTATGCAGACAATTTCAGTTATTCCTGTTCTTCCTCACGGCGTTGTTCAATTTGGTTCGTACTTGCATGTAAGTATTTCTCTTGCCCTTTTAAAATCTTCAATCAAAATAAATCTCAACTTTTCACCCACTGTTACAGCCCTTTCTTCCACCTTTTCTCTCCAATCCTTGATCAAACTTGCATTCCCCAAGCACTGTGAAATGAAAAAATTTGTGTTACTCGGTAGCTTTCAAGCCGCTTACGCTCTGGTTACGTATTTTAAATAAATAAATCATTAGGCTATTGAAACTGAACGTAATCAATTCCAAGTTCAAACTTCAAACAAAAAGGTCTTGTATTCCTTAAAGATAGGGGAGAGGGGGCCAGCTATGGTAAGTTGGTAAACATTTTATGTTGCATATTAGTGTGAATATAATGCAGTTAGCATAAAGTGATTCTGTCAATGTCAAATGTTCTTCTAATGTTTTAGTATTAGTGCTAGGCCAGATGTGTCCAGGGTTGATAATTTCTTTGTCTGTATTTTTCAACCATGCTTAACGGGTTATAATATTACAAGAAGTGAAAAATGGTGATTTTTGTTGCCTCAGATACTGGAGAATATGGGATTTGTGGAGGATGTGAGAACGCTAATAAGTCAATTAGGGTGTGTTCCTGGTGTTTTATCTGATGAAAATGCAGCGAAAGAACCTGCCCCAAGTACAGCCAGACCAGTTTATCCTGGGAGTTCTGTCTCAATGGAATCTTGTGGGAGAGCCAAAGTAATGAACTCTTCTTCAATAATAGCTAGCTGCAACTATAGTGCTAACTCAATTCAGGCAGAGAGGTTCATCGGTCAAACTTCTTTGGCTGGACAAATTCAGGAATGTATGCAGTCTAGTGATTCAACATTTCAAGCCTCTAATATCACTGGACGTTTTGCCGAATATCATGATGACCACTTTCACAAGAAAATTTCCCCAGAAGTGACATCATACATGTCTACAAACAGCCAGCTAACAAATAATGTGATCAAAGCTGAGGTAATTCCACCAAACCCTGATGTATGGACGAAGCAACAGGCTTCTTTGCACATTCCAAAGCCACGATTTTGTCAGGAATCTTCTGTTGGCTCATTAACTCTAGATAGTGGCAGCATAAGATTGACTGAACAACAGATCTCTGGTGAAAATAATCTTGCGAAAAACAATTTAACTCTGCCAAATGGCTTTAGAGCATCTCAGCCAAGAATCGGTGATGTTCTTACATCCAACTTTCATGAAAATATTGTTCTTCCATCCACTGGAGTAACTGAATTGTACAAAGAAGTGAACAAGTATCAGAAATCAATGCCGAGTCCCAATATTTTCTTAGATGCCATCAGACCACCACACAAAATCATCTCTTGCACAGAGTCTACTGGAAATGGGCGTCAGATTGGTTCTTCTGAATTGAAGGCATCTTCTTCATATGATGTTGTTAACGATGTAATCAACAACCATTCTTTGGATGGCCAAGGCACACAATTTTTGTTGGACGGGAGCAAAAGAATGGTAGAAAATGATTTGTTTCAAGCACTCGGCATTATGTCGACACAGGATGAGCGACCAAGTTCAAGTGAGTACATTCAAGATGTATACGGTGAAAAACATGAACATGGAGTGCAGAATCCCTTATTTGACAATGCCAAATATGAAGATGTGTGTGTCCAAAGTCAATCAGGGGATGACTTATTTGATGTTTTGGGTGCTGATTTTAAAAACAGACTACTAAATGGAAGCTGGAGTGATGAGCAAAGCAAAGGACCAGACTCAAACACAAAGGATTGTATTAATAATTGCTCTACTTCTAAAATAAGTCAGGATGCTTCTTCTACAGTCAACCAAGGAAACTCAGATAGTGGTATGTTTTCCATGACTGGTTTTGACCGTATCTTAGAGACTATGGTATCCAATCGTACTACTAAGCAGAGCCTGGAAGACAACCTTTCTTGTCGGACGACGTTGACTAATTTGAGCAGCTCCTCTTCCCCTAATGCTTCATGTTTCTATGGCCGAGTTGGATTCTCCAGTCAAATTCAGGGAGAGCTATATGGGCCTCCCAAGACACTTCCAAAATCAGGAGCAACGAGTTCTGATTCATTCAAATATGAGTGCTCCAAAGAAAACACAGGAATGCATTCTCAAAGTTGTTCAATTTATGGATCACAAACCAGTTCATGGGTGGAAAGTGGCCATGGCACAAAGCCGTCAAGCAGTGTTTCAACAGGCTATTCTAAAAAGCCAGATGAAATGAGTAAAACAAGTCGCAAAAGGCTTAAACCAGGAGAGAATCCTAGACCCAGGCCAAAAGATCGGCAAATGATCCAAGATCGTGTGAAGGAACTGCGAGAAATTGTGCCTAATGGGGCGAAGGTGATACCCCCTTTCAACCTTTGGACACCCTCTTTACTCTATTATTGTATTTTTACTTTACTATTGTCCGATTTCGTTTAATGAAGATTTTGCTCTTAGTAATGCCTTCGCTTGACGATCATGTGATTTCAGTGTAGCATTGATGCACTGTTGGAACGCACAATTAAACACATGCTTTTCTTGCAAAGTGTCACAAAACATGCAGACAAACTAAAACAGACTGGAGAGTCAAAGGTTTGAACCATTTACCCTCATTCTCATGATACTGACAAAACTGGGGTTTCTTATTGTGATATACTCTATAGTGATTTGGTAGTAAAATTTATGGGTCGAGACTGGAGAGCATGAAGAAAGAAGGTTTCCAAGCTCAAGAAAGCTATGAAAGAATATATTAACATAATTACTCTCAATATATGTTTCAAGTTTTCCTTTCCATTCACTTGGATTTCTTCCGTTTCATCGATTTTGTCCGGATCCCACCTTTTTCAACTACAAGGGCTTACTAGTTTATGCTAAAGATTAAAAGGTATTAATAAATCAAACAGAAAGGGGGTTGAATTTCATGTGAGCATTGGTTATCACCTCTGTCCTTGTGTTGTGAACCGGCAGATTATCAGTAAAGAAGGAGGATTGCTTTTAAAGGATAATCTTGAAGGCGGAGCAACGTGGGCATATGAAGTCGGCTCACAATCTATGGTCTGCCCGATTGTAGTTGAGGATCTGAATCAACCTCGTCAAATGCTTGTGGAGGTTGGTATCTGTACATCTCCAAATAAATGATCCTTTGGTCCACTTCTTACTGATTCTAGCATATCTGACACGATCTCATTATTATTCGAAAAATATGATCATATAAATTATCTGTTCTCTGCAGATGCTTTGTGAGGAACGGGGCTTGTTTTTGGAAATAGCTGACATTATAAGAGGATTGGGCTTGACTATCTTGAAGGGGGTTATGGAAACGAGGAACGACAAAATATGGGCACGATTTGCTGTAGAGGTAACTAATCAAGAATTGGACGAAACCTGCTTTTTGTACTCCCACAATTTGTTTGTTTGTCATTTAGCATGACTTGAGATCTGATATTTAAATACAGGCATACAGAGATGTAACAAGGATGGACATATTCATCTCACTCGTTCGCCTCTTGGAACATACAGCAAAAGGTGAAGCAGCACCTGCCAATGCTAATGATAACAACACAGCAGTGGTGAATTCATTCCACCAAGCAGCGTCAATACCTGCAACTGGTAGTTTGCTGTGATCAACATTTTACTACTGTTTCACTTGCTAATGTTAAGAGCAAGCGGCAAATCATGCTTGCCATGACTAACATTTACACCAAATGATCCTTCTGGTTCTAATCGATATATATTCCCCAGAGGTGTATCTGAATCCCCTAAAAAGTTGCATGTTTTTCTAATCCATCAATGGTTGTAAACTTGTAATATGTAGCAATCAGATGCTGTAGAATACTTCTTGTAGAGAAAGAAGAAAATGATAGAATGATATGGATCATGTTATTGGTTTATTGTATAGGAAAGTTTGAGATGATAGAAGGGATGAGGGGATTTTATTAGCTAATGTGTGTACCTTTAATGCAATTTTTTGGTTTTTTTGGGCTTTCACATTCTGCTACCAAAGTGACTGTAGTTAGCTATCCTTTCCCTTGAACTATTTTCACTCTGCTACAAAAACCAGGTTAACCGCAAAGGGGTACAAAAAAGAGAAAAGAAAGAGTAGACATCGTACTCTTGCATCATATATTGCATCATCATCATCAAATGTTCCTCTTGTCACCGGGGCAAAGTTAAATTGTACGAGGGGAATTCGATTGAATTCTTTTTGCCAGGAAGTTATATATTGTGTAACAAAACTTTTTTTGTCAATATATAAAATGTTGAATTATTCTGGCATAACGAAAATTTTCTGGAGTATTGACAAAGGTTGCTCAAAAGTTACTTTATGTCCAATCTCAGTTGTGATACCCTAACATTTTCTATTTTGAATCCTTTGTTAATATTCTGACTTTGCCACTCCTCATCACTCTACGGCAATAACATGGTGATGTACATTTTTTGTATTCTGCTCCGGCATTACTCTTTTCCTTTTCCAACTACCAGATCTTGTTCTTCTCGGGGCAGCATTATGATCTGTCTTCTTGAATCTTGCTAGGGTAGCAACAGAGGAGGAACCAGGTCACCAAACCTCGAGCCGATTTGAAGGTTATGGGTTCTGATCTTGTCACCAAACCTCAGCTCGTTTTAGTTCTGATCTATATAAGAGCAAACTTCATTTATAGCCCATCGGCCCAAACATATTTCACCCGGTAGCCCAAAAACTGCAACATACATTTTATAGCCCAAAAATAATTCTAGTGGCTAGCCCAAAAGTACTGAGGCTCAGATCTGTAAAGATAGAGGCGGCCACGCTATGGCTACAAAATCACTGATTGCATTCAATTCTCAAACGGCTGGAAAATGGTGTCCAAGTTTGGGTTAGCTGGTGGCATACCAGAGCGTAGAGTTCGAGCCATTTGGGATGCCATTGATTCTCGCCAGTTCAAAAATGCTCTCAAGCACTGCACCCCTCTCCTCTCCAAATACCCCAATTCCCCTTATGCTCTGGCACTTAAAGCTTCGGTTTTGGAAAGGATGGGTAAAGCGGAAGAAGTATTTTCCGTTTGCTTAAATGCCAAAGAGCTTTTGTACACTAATGACTCTGTCTTGATTGACGATCTTACTCTCAGCACTCTACAGTTTGTTTTCCAACGATTTGACCACTGTCAGTATCTTGATGTTTTCTACCGAGCTCGCCATTCATTCTTTTTGACTCATTGTTTTGTATCTTGACAGTGGATATGGCAACAAGTTGCTACGAGTATGCTTGTGCGAAATCAGTTGTTGAGTGATTTACCCATATATCAAAGTTGAGCATACAGAACCCAAGTCCCTAGTGTGTCAGAGTTCCCAAGGGCTTCAAGAACCCAAGGCAGTACTCACACAAGGGAAGTTCACAGAGATCATTTAGAGGAGGGACTAAAGACCAACTTCTAGTGTGTCAAAGTTCACAAGGGCCTCACATGGCCCCCGATCAGTGTTCACACTAGAGAGGGGTCAAAGGCGAAACCAGAATAGCCTTGGCTTTTAGCCGGCTAAGAAGAGAACTTAAGCAAGAGGTGAAAGAGAAAAGACTAAAGTTGAGGGATAGGAATTGAGGGGTTTAAACAAACACGACCAAGTTGAACATATTAGGAAAACAATTGACAAAATCACAAATTTTGAAAGCCAGCTTAATGTAAACTTAGGGAAACAGATTCAACACTAGCACAGAAACAGTCACATGCTAATAAGAACATGTTTGCAGGATTGATTGGAGTTATATCACTAGACAGGTTGAAGCAGGATGGGGAATTATGCTAAGTATGCAGGCAACATTGTGCTAANAATAGACTGTCACTATACAATTTATATACAATTAGCTCTGACTATACAAAATAGACTGTCACTATACAAAATAGACTGTTACTATACAAAAAATATATAAAATAGTCTGTCACTATACAAATAGACTGTTACTATACAAAAAATATACAAAATAGACTACCACTATACAATATAGACTGTTACTATACAAAAAATATACAAAATAGACTGTTACTACACAAAAAATATACAAAATAGACTGTCACTATACAAAATAGACTGTTACTATACAAAAAATATACAAAATAGACTGTCATTCAATTCTTAGCTAATATTATTAGATCCAAAAGTACAAAATACAATTTAAAAAGGCAAAAAAGGGTTGCTCCATCGCGCCAGGTAGGGGTCAAAAACCTGCAACCTTCAGCTTAGGAAATAGACGCCCTATCCACTGAGCTACAGGCACTTGTGTTGTCATGCTCATTCCTTTTGGCTACTATATGCAATATGTTTGGGCCGAAGGCAAAAAAAGGTTGCTCTATCGAGCCAGGTAGGGGTCGAACCTGCAACCTTCAGCTTAGGAAATAACGCTCTATCCACTGAGCTACAGGCACTTGTGTTGTCATACTCATTCCTTTCGGCTACTATATGCAATATGTTTGGGCCGAAGGGCCATTTTTTGTATGTGGTACAAAACGTGGGCTATTAAAATTTTGAGGGGCTATAGAGGGTAGTTTTCTCTCTATATAATACCCATTGTCCGGTAAAGCATTGAAAGCCCCAACTAATTTGGATTTGGGTAGCATGAGACCCATTAAAGGGGAAAGTGCTTCCTATCAGAAATTTTCTGAGGCCTATTAAAGGAGAAAGCGCTCCCTATCAGGAATTTTTTTCTATTCACAAGACTCGAAGCCGAGATTTCTAGTTAAGAATGGAGGGATTCTATCCATCCCGCCACAAGCCTTGGTGGTGAGAGGGAGGCACGTAGGATTTTAGGCTAGGTGATTGAATGCACATTTCTTCATGGTGTCAAAACAACTATAACAAAAGGGATGTTGTACAACTATAAGTACGTCATAGAAAACAATACTCATGGTTTAGATTCTACAACTGATACTAGCAGCAGTAATTAAAGAACTAGAATGAGCATCTGGATAAACTATAAAGGGACGGAAACATCTACGCTCTGGGACAACCACCCTTTCGAGGTTCATCAGTTGAAGATAACATTCCTGGCAAACCAAAAACCCACTAGTAAATTCCGGGTATGACCCGGTAAGGCACCTTTTCACAATACAATTTCCAGTATTTGCCATACCTGCAAAGAAGCAAGGCTCTGTCAAACTTTCACCCTCACTAGATTTCATACACAAATTGACAAGAATAATGAGCAAATTAGTAATAGATGTCCAAACATCTCAACGGGTAGATCATAAGAAGCCTCCAGTTATTAACGTTAGGGGCAAAATGCTTGCACTTAATGTTTTCATCACTTTTAGTATGATCTAACTTCACACCTGGAGGGCGTGCTGCTTATACGTCTTATCGACGCACCAACCCGATCTTACAACTAACATCCATTATGAGGGGCTTGACAACAAAACCTCCTCGGATAAATAAATGTGTCCCTGATACCCCTTCCGTCCTATGTTGCTCGGATCCTCCAAAAAATGCATAATTTTTGGAGGATCCAAGCAACATAGCTTCCGAGAAGAACTCTCTGGATCTCCCGATTGTAGCACATTATTGCCTTAGAAGCATTGGACTATAAGTATCGTCATTTCCGTGAACCCAAAAAAAAAAAAAGCTATCGTCATTTCCTTTACTAAAAAATGAAAATGGAGTTTCATGGAAAATTTAATAAGCCCTTTGCTATCTCTGGCTAATGGAGCTGTCTCTTTCGTTGCTTATCCTAATTCGAAGCATGCTGCACAATTCTATACCTAAAGAGGTCAAGAAAAGCAAGTAGCAAATATGCAAAAGAGAGAGTGCTTAAGTTCTCAAGTTTAAAAATAATCAAATATGTCCTTTTTTTGCGCACAAGGTTCTTTATGTATTGAATCGCATAAATTCAAGCTTTTGTAAAGAGCGAGAATACTAAAGAACCCAAGCCAAGGTTGAGTTGCTTACTTTGACTTGCATCGGTCATCATCCCTTTTGGCTCGATCGAAAAGGAGGACCGTCAGATAGATTACATAGAAGTAAGGAATGAACTGCAAGGGGGAGGAAAAGTTATGAAGGAGAAGTGGTTGGTTAGATTCCCGACACCTTAAGTGGGCAGTGCAAAATTGGAAGCGAGGATGCAAAATATTTTTAAATTTTCTTCTTGATAGGTACAGAAATGAATTCTGTATATTTGTGTAAGTGAATACTTACATGGTTGAAAAGAGCTGGTACACTCCAGAAAAATGAAGCTAGTATTTCTGGAACATAATGGAAGTGCCGAGCTAAGCCCCACCTGCAAAATGTTTGGCGTGAATATTCAGCAATGCATCTCAAGAGACTTAAAAGAAATCCAGTACTCTCGGTGTTTTCAGGAATAGTTAAAGAACACATGAGAAAAAAATGGTAAAATTGTTCTTTGAACCACATGCTATTTGTAGCTCGTTTACCACTCCTTGAAAGTGCAATTGAATACAGCTTTATAACAAGAAATTTGGTGGTTCAATTGACTACAGCTTGTGAAAAAAAAAAAAAAGAAAATTGGTAGCAGAGAGGAGAATAATATTTGGTCCTACAGAGTTAACAAGTTAAAAGAAAGGTACTGACCATCCAGATGTCAGGAGAAGGCTGGTTTTAGTCTCACCAGTGGTAGTAGTGTATGAGGCAACAATCTACAGCAAAACAGAAACCAAATCAGAAATATTGCAAAGGGGTAAGAGAATTCTAAAATACTTTGACTGGACATGGAGTTTAAAATGTCAGGTTGACATATATATTATATTAGTGGTAGTGGCAGTAAATATTAGTAAAAATGATAGAAACAGTGGTTTGATAAAGAAAATGACACATTAAAGTTTAAATTTTGAATAGTTAAATCGATTTGAGTTCTTGAAAATTGTGAAAGTTTTATAGAATGATATCATGAATAGATGGTCAAACACTTTGGAATGTCACAAAAATAAAAATAAAAAATTCATATAAGTTGGGACACGGAGTAAATCGCAGATGCTGCCCTCCAACCTTTGATGGAGCCTTTCCCCAGACAAGGCATTTGCCATTTGTTCTGCGAAACTCTTGCCTTTGTCTGTCACAATCATAGTTTATGTATACGCAGAGAACACCAGCTACTAGAATATAAATTGCAAGCTGCAAAAAAAGAAAGAAAGACTCAGGGTCATCACAAGCACAGAGCTAACAAAGAAGGGATGGTGAAAGAAGCAAGTATACTTGTACTTTTTGTTTATATTTTTTGTTAACCATACTGCTTGAAGAATAAAGTATACTTATATTTTAGCTTATTCAGATGTCTATAATGCTAGTAGAATATAATGCATACTCTCTTGAAAATTCACATTATACTATGCGTAGTTTCTTTCTGTAGGTTGGTAGAATGCAAGAAATGTTCCGCTGCAAATATCCCTCCACCACAAGGTGGAACCCTCAGTGACAGAAAAAGGAATATCCTATCTTTCTATGCCTCATTAGACATATCTTGAATGGGCTTCATTTTTTTAGCAGACAGGGAATAAATCAATGTTACACATACCAGATTGAAAAGCTAAATAAATAATTCCAAATGAAACGACAAACTGCAAGCATCAAAATATGGTGGAATAACCCCACTCTTGGCAAGAGCTGAACCTCTGAGGCTGTGACCTTTTGCCAAAGGTTACAGGTCTCTGTTTTCCAATTAGAGTTGCACCAATAGTGGGTTACTCATCATATCTTATATCAGTTCTTTTCTGAATCAGAATTTTGAGAAGCCATTCTAGTTACTTTTGTCAGGTAACATGAGAAATACTTTAGCACAGCAAACAACATTATTCACTTCCTCCATCTTAAATTGTTTATGCCACCCACTTCAGAGTTCTGACAACATCTCTAGCAAATTTTGAAGAGTCATCTATTTTGCATGGTTTATTATGTTAATTACGAATATGTATGACACATACCTCATGCTCTTTTTAGGTTGAACAAGTAGCTACTCTCCTTTGTGTTTCAAGTCTATTATGTTAACCAAAGTTCACTCACATGGATTGGTGCATATGCATACACCTCAATTACAAACACACATGAATTCTCGAGCTCCGTCTTATTTGCTACATTTAAATGGGTCTAAGGTAGAATCATTTTTTTATCCATTCTTTGAATGCAAAAGGAGAAAGCAAAGAAAAACAAATATTTTTGTCCCTGACATGACAAGGAAGATGCACTTTTGTTTCATATCAAAGAACTCATTCTATGTTTTATTCAATTACATACGACATTTGCACATATATATCTTAAGAATTAAGTTAATTATTTTGTTCAGCATGTTCATTGCCTACATATAAATTTTGAAATAATTTCAACTATTGTGGTCAGCATGTTAGCAGAAAATATTCCCCTCATCGTCGTAAGCTATCCACCATCTTTAAGATCTATACCAGTATCCAGTGGATGAAAAAGCGAAACAGAGTGTTCACCGGAAACTGTTCTTGTAAATGATAATCTTGGTATAGAAAGATACTAAGTCAAAACTTTAGGTACAACTGAATCAGAAGTAACATCCAGTGAACAATGAATTAGCTTCTAAATAACATATGGCAGATTTTTCAGGGAGTCAAAAGTACCTGAAGTCCAAGATTTACAGGTTGTTTGACAAGGTACATTCCGGGAGAAGTATATATACATGGAAGCCATACTAAGCATCCCCAGCATATGTAAAAGCCAGCTGCCAAAACAAAATTAAGAGCAGAAAACATTATATCTTGCATAGAAATAAGAAGACAAAATTAAGAGCAGAAAACATTATATCTTGCATAGAAATAAGAAGACAACGTGGCACAGGAGAGCAAAGGCAAGGCACTAAAAATGACAAACAAACAAACAAGACAAATAATATAAAGCATGTACAAACCTCGGTCATGTGCAATATCCATGGTGTTCCAGTACCCTGCTTCCCACCAGAAGAATTTCGTGACATACACCAATGTCAATATGGTGTTTACAAGCATGGAATCGGAGAGACTTCCATATTCTTCATACTGCCAAATTGAAAAGCATACGTTTAAGAATGCTGTGAACTTTCTTACTCCAAAATTGGAATTGGATGTTAATCAAACAGGTCCTTATATTGACAATAACAGAATACTGTTTGGGGCTCCAGATGAAAGAACAAGTATAAAAGTTACGACCGCTGGGGGACTCCAATAGATAAACAAGAAACTACTTCAAATAATGCCCCTCCCTTTAATGGTGCTAGTACACCCTTCTCTCCTTAATGGTACTAGTACAAAAGGAAAAAAAGGAATTTATCTTGGAAGACCTACTGCATTTCAAAGTCATTTAACAGAAAGCATGTAAATTAGTTCTTTCTTGATACCCTGACAAAGGAGACCAAATTACTTGCCATCGACATTGACAAGAGGGCCTAGCAACAATAACCAAATTTGAAGCCCTGGGACTGAAAGGTATAGAGTCTTAATTCTCACGTTTGAGGACTTTGTCAGAGCATTTACCTGCTTTATACAGTAGGTAATAGGGAGAACTCCCCAAGAAATCATGCCAAATCTGCAGTTCGTGAAGACTTTGATGTCAAAGTGTTTGCCAATGCGAGGATATAGCTCCATCCCCTAAAAGAGTAAAAGAAGAAAATCCCTAGGTTAAGACATATGAGATCACTTAAAACTTAAAAGAATATTGCACAATGCAAGTATAGGATTAGAAACATGCTTTTCTAATATAACTGGTTATCTAGTATCACCAATTTCATATTTCGTTGAGAAAACAAAAAGCAGACTAAAGTAGTCTTCATGCATGCTTTTGACACCAGGTTGTTTGACTTATTAAAAGAGAAAACATGAAGAGTCTTCATGCATCTTATATTGCGAAAGATGCTTACCCAATAGAAGTCGATTATTATGTTCCCTGACGAACCGTGATCAGTGGAAGATGGCGCAACATGACCCTTGTATATGTCAACATTATGTATCAGAAAGGTATACATAAAGAAAGCATATTATTACTGAGGATTCTTTTGTATGCTTACTTTTATGTATAAGAAGAGACAGAAGATTAAGCTTCCAAAATTTAGTGTAGAGAGAATCTCCCCCAGATGATCATACACAATTGTGGGATTGAATATCCCAAACCTGATAAAACAGGAGGGAAAAGTACAAATAAGGACCAGAAGCTGATTATTTTTCTAGATATAATGATTTGAGAAGCACTAGTGTCACAAATAATAGTCAAGATGACAGTCAATCATGAGTAATCATATAAGTACTAACTCTGAATACCACACAAGAATATAAACAGCTTTCTTACAAAATTATAATGATCAGCCTTCACAAAAAGGGAGGAGAGAGAGACAGAAGAAGCTTCACATTAATCAGACACCCAATTATAGTGAAGTTGCATATTTACAAATATAGTAATATACTCAAGAATTGATATTTTAACTAAATAAACTAAGAAATCAGGCCGATACCCAAAGTTATTCTGTGGGAAATCATAACACTTTCCCATGCAATGCTGCTACTTCCGAAGAGAACAAGTATTATTTACGAAAACAGCATTCTATAGAGTCAAAGTTTCAGAATTCTAAAGTTCTAAAAATGCCAACAGTATTTGAATGGAACTTCTTACCACCAAAGACTGAGATACGTAATTAGTGTCACTACATATGCTGCCATGCCATTTGCCTGCAATAAGCACAGAAAAAACTTTAAAATTTGAAGTGTATTAACTGTAAAATAATTGCAGAAATGTCCTTCACCGTGTCAGGAAAACAAATTTTAGAGAAGTAAATAGCCACACAAGCATTTGCAATTCAAGATGCACAATTGACATACATAAATTCACAAAATAAGCAGATCACAGAGAAAATGTTCAGAAGAATTATCGTCAATTACCTTATAGACAGGCCTGTGTCCAGTTGGAGATATCGGCCCTTGGACCGTTTTACCCGGCAACAAAAGCTGAAGTGCGGCCTCGAATAGAGCATAGCAAATTATTATTTTTCCCGCAACTGCACTGGGTCTTGGCCAGATATCAATGAGTCCTTGCAGGCCATTCTCCCTTAGGTAATTAAATGTTTGCAATACAGACCCATCGGCATGAACATTTGTATACCACCTGCATGCAACTCATCGAGTTTCCAAAATTAGGTCAATCACATAGATTTCATGTCCTCGTTAAGAGAATACAACATTATAAGATAAATCACCATGGTGAAACATTCAAAAACATCACGTCATCTAGATCCATTTCTCAACCTTCCTTTTCACACCAATTTTACTCCTTTCACATGCCTAAGTGCATAGCTTTTGTGTATACCTGGAATCTTTATCACTTCCAAGTTTCATTATTGTTCTCTTCCTTCTATGTAGGCAAACTAACAATGGTCTCTGCAAAGAAAGCATTGAACCATAGACAAAAAACTAGTGATTTTTTTAACCACCCGAGCCGAGGGTGTGACCTAACTGGTCATGATGTGGGATGAAAACCATAGCAACAAGGGTTTCAAATCACGGTAGAGGCAAAAATGCTGGGTTATTTCTTCTGAATTGCCTAAGCCTTAGTGCACAGAGAAACTGCCTTTTAACCCTTTAAAAAAGATCTCTTACCCTACTGATAAGGTTTTTGCTTTTCCTTTATTTTTGTCCCCAAACCAAATCACAGAAAAGTAAAACACGAAACATTAAGTTATCTGATTCAGCTAAAAATGGACATTGACAAATGAAATTAATTCAATTTTATGAAGTTAATTCAAAAGGTCCAATCTTGATTCGCAGTTCCATAGTACATAGACAATTCTAAGATCTGGTGCGATAAATAGATGTAATGAATGGGGGAGTAGGGAGTAAGAGGAACTTACATGAGAATAACAAAAGGGGGTGCTAAAGTGAGAAGAGCGATCATTGACAGGTAAGTGACTAGAGGCGGGTGCACCAACTGATTCTCCGCCATTCTTCTCCCTCTCTCTGGTCTGCACAATTTCTGGGTTTGTAACTTCACTACACAGAAGTCTCCGCTTGAACACACACACTGGAGGGGAAGATGAGAATCTGACAATAGTGGGGTTTTGGTGGTGAGTGTGTGTCAGCTATTGACGTGGTTGTCCACTTCCCCTCTGATTCTCTTGGAAAAAATATAAATAAAAATCAATTGATTCACCGGTCCACGTGAGTAGGTGCTGCAATTAAATTAAATTATTAAAAGACACAGAATGAGACTTTATGGTGAGTTTGTACTAACTCCGCCCACTTTTATTTAGCATATATATACTAAAAATAAATGTTCATTTTTACTTGGCATTTCACGCATATGAAGAGAAGACAACAAATCTTTTCATGTTTTGCCCATAGCAGTTATTACTCATTTCAAATTATTTTTTTAAATTTAATAAAATATGCATCAATTAATATGAATATCATGATAAATTATATACTTCATTTACTATTTTTTAAAGGGCGTGAAAAGTCAAAAGGTGTTAAGTAAAAGTAACCGGAAGGAGTACTTTGTAACATTAATTTTTTAAAGGAAAATGTCATTTATCAGCCTTTATTTCAGGAAGTCCCATTTTTGGACACCATTTTTAGAAGTTAGGAAATAGCTCAAGTGTCAATCGGGTTTATGGCTCTTTACAAATTTGTTTTTAGTTTTATGACCCTACCTCTTTTTTTATATACTAGTCTCAGGGTAAGCTTTATGCGCGTGTTCCTCGTGTAATAAATAAATTATTTTTAAGAAATCACATAAGTAGTATTAAACGATGTGTTTGAGTTGTAAAATTAAAATAAAAAGTATAACATTGTAAATATATGTTCATAGACTCTATTTAGCTAGCTCTATAAAGGATAAAATCTTGAACACATGAAAGTCCTCAGTGTTTTATAGGAATACCTTGTGAAAATTATGGAAATCAAATAATTCCAAAATATACTTTTATCGCGATGATTTGTTAGATAATACAAATTGATTAATTAAATCTTTTGTTCTTTTATAGATATAAGAATGATGGGGTTGGCCTATAGCTCCTAAAAAAATTAATAAGAGTGACAATATAAATTCTAAAAATATAATGTTGAGTTAATATTTTATAAACATAATGTATGAAAAATATAAGGGGATGTTATTTTGGAATATTTACGAAAAAGAAAAAAAATTAATGGCAACTCATTTGTAATACAAGTTATACATTTTTCTCCCGCATTATATTTGGCCTTTAAAATTTTCATACTACACGTAACTTTTAAAAGGTCAAAATGAATTAAAGTTATAGATAGTTAAAACATGGACTACACTTTTATGATAGAAGTAAATTTTTAAAAATAATTATATAATTTCACGTACATAATATTTAATTTGGAAGAAATGTGCATGGAACTTTTGCTTTATCAAATATATGTGTGCGCGCCTAATTTGCATGCCTACATACAATAAGCAAATATATTATAAACGAATTGTTTGATTTATATAAGGTAAAAATTTAATAGATTTTAAAGTTCTAAATATTAGCACTTCATACCGAATCTAATAAGAAAAGATTTAATAACCAAAATTTTAATTAATTATTAAAGTGTTAAATATTAGAAATTAACTTAAATTATAATTTTAGCCGTTATGAAATTTTTAAGGGATAAAAAAGAAGAATCACATTTCGCTATGGGCAAAGTATTATAAGAAAAAGACTCAGCGGCAAGTATGGTAAACAAATGCTACAAGCCTACAACTAAAGTGAATTTTCAAGCTAAGTGATTTTGGCCAATAATTGAACGTAGATTTATGGCAATAATTCGCATATTCTATTCTTTTTTTTCCTAAATACTAGAAAGAAAATATAGTTATAGTTGTGTCATAATTAAAGTAAATAATTTATATAAGGTAAAATTTTAATTAATTTTAAAGTTAGTTTCTACAGAATTCAAATATGGAAAGATATAATAAATAAAATTTTATTTGATTTAGAAGTCCTAAATATCAGGAAGATAAGTAAATTACTATTTTGTCCAGTATAAAATATATTTTTTAAAGGGTAAAAAAGGCGAACGACATTTCGCCAAGGGCCTTCGTGCTTTTAATATAGTATAGATATAGATATAGATGAGAGATTTACTTTTACACATAAAAGGTTTATATTTTACACATAAGAAATCTAAAAAAATTATTTTCTTAATTTTAGATTGTAAAAGGGCATGATGTCTAAATAGCCCATGAACAATTAACAAATGCATAAATCCTATTAAATCTAATTATAAATGTGTATTTCAAGAATGTAAGACGAAGGGACAACATTTATAAATTAGGTATGAAGATGCAATACTTCCTCCTTCCCATTTAGTTGTTGTCACGACCCTAAACCGACCCGGTCGTGATGGCACCTAGTGTAAAACTAGGCCAGCCAACACAATTTCCGAATCAAACCATTATCAATAAAAGTCATTTTAAGCCATTAATTAACAAGGAAGTAAGTGATCCGAACCTGTCCGGAGCGAGCCTCCCATAGAGGCAAGTGAAGTTGGTGAGCCGTATGATGGGCAACTATCTCCTCCAATTCGGAGAGGACTCAGCTGTTAGTTAGTACCCCCTTGGGTTCCTACCAATGAAATAGAGCGACAATCGCTGTTAAAGCTCTACCCTCCTTTGGCACCCTTTCGCTTGCGTGAGCAACGGCCCCTAGCGCCCAAAGCAAGCGCCTTTAGTGTTCCCGACCGCCTGCCTTTCGGCCTTAGCGTTCCAAACAACAACTTCGATTCGCCTGGCCAGCAGGCGGGCGGCGTGCTTATCTTGTGTGACAACACTACAGAGCGAGTTGCTCTTCTAGGCGGACAGCTGTGTGACAACACTACAGAGAAAGCGGCGCTTTCGTGTAACATGCTATGGTCTCAACGCCCTTATGAGGTAGTGATGAGTTTCACGCGCTCTAAGCCCGGCCTGCGCGCGGTTAGGAAGAATGGCCGCAATCTGAGCGGTACCACCCACCCTCATAATATAAGTCTAAACAACCAGTGCGGAATAAATACACAAGCCCGACATCGGGGTGTCACAAGTCATGAGCAACTACAAATCTGCCTTAATATAATAAAGTATAAACAAGACTGGAAGACCATACTAAATAAAGCTAGGGAAGATATGAGGGAGAAGAACAGGGCTACGAACACCATGCAGCTACCTTGTCGACTCCGAAATCCTACTGAATGGACAATCAATGCTCACTATCGCGACCCGCAACTCCTAGATCTGCACACAAGGTGCAGGGAGTAATGTGAGTACGCCAACCCAGTAAGTAATAAAAGTAAAAGCAACTGAGCAGTAAGAAAACAGATAATCTCACGTCATAGCACTACAGCAAATATAGTACATTTCAAAAACAGTCTAGAAATCAACTATCTCGAAAAAAACAAACTCAGTTTCAGTAAAACCATTTCTCTTTTAAAACATCTTTCAATAGTTTCAAACAAGTGAATAAAACAATGAGTAAAAATGATAGAAACGTAAACAGCCCCTCGGGCAAAACATGTACCATAAACCGCCCCTCGGGCAAAATATCAACAGAACCAGCCCCTCGGGCTACCTCACAATCGCTCGTAATTAGCCCCTCGGGCAACAACATGAAACAACAACAGCCCCTCGGGCAATATCACATCACTCACACTGGGTACCCGCGCTCACTGGGGGTGTTCAAACTCCGGAGGGGCTCCTACAGCCCAAGCGCTATCACATGCCATCTCGTGGCATAACAAATCAGGCCCTCGGCCTCTCATATATCACAAATCTGTACAACATGCTGCGGCGAGTAGCCCGATCCCATAATATCCTCATAACATAGGCCATTGGCCTCACTCAATCAGAAACCTCTCAAGCCACTCGGGCAACAGAAAAACAGGATGCTCAGCCCAAAATATCATTTAAAGTATCAAAACGGAGTAAATACGGATGAGTTATGAAATCAGTAAAAGACAGCATGACTGAGTACAGGGATTAAGTTAAAACAGTGAGGAATAGTAGTAAAAAAAAACCCTAAGGTTCCAAACAGTTGGCACGAGGCCCAAATATGGCATTCAACCCAAAACATGATAATACTTTCCAAACACAATAGTATCAAATAGTTTTCAATCAAGTACGCGACTTAATAGTCATACGGGACGGATCAAGTCACAATCCCCAATGGTGCACGACCCCACGCTCGTCATCGAACGTGTGCGTCACCTCAATGTAGCACAACGATGTGAAATCCGGGGTTTCATATCCTCAGGACAACATTTACAATCATTACTTACCTCAAACCGGTCCAAACTCTAGCCCGCGATGCCTTTGCCTCTCGAATCGGCCTCCAAATGCTCCAAATCTAACCAAAATCAGTATATTATCATCAATATACGCTAAAGGAACAAAGCTCAAGCGAAAATAATCAAATTAACTCAAAAATCCCGAAATTGGCCAAACCCGACCCCCGGCCCACATCTCGGATTTTGATAAAAATCACATCACTAGAATCCTTATCCTCCCACGAGTCTATACATACCAAGAACATGACCCCAAATGGCCCCTCAAATCCCCAATGGAAACTCTCCAATACCAAGCCCGAATTTTAACCCTTAATTTCCAATAATTTCAAGCCTAATCAGTAAGATAATGCTATAGAATCGAGTATTGGGTACAAAAATCTTACCTACAAGCATTACCTCTTGAATCCCTCTTCAAACCCTCCCAAAAAGCTTCAAAGCCGATCAAAAATGGTGAGAAATGAGCTGAAAATCGCGAAGGCAAGAATTTATATGTTCTGCCCAGGAGTTCCGCATCTGTGGTCCAATACCGCACCTGCGACCCCCGCACCTGCGACAAAACGTCCGCATCTGCGAAATTTCACTTAAATCCTATACTCGCACCTGCGATCAGACCACCCCATCTGCGGGCTGGGAGGTGCGACTCACCTTCCGCTTCTGCGATGCCAAAAACCGCATCTGCGGTCTCTTCCCGCTTTAGCGATCATCGCACCTACGGTTCCCAATCCGCAGGTGCAGAAACAACAGAAGCAGAAAATTTTCTACAACTCCAAATCCTCTCAAACCTTCGTCAACCAAAAAAATCTATCCCGAGGCCCCCGGGACCTCATCCAAAAATACGAACAAGTCATAAACCAATATTCAAACTTATACCAACCCTC